TCATGAATTATTAATGAGTTTTCTAAGTTAATATAGCTAAAATGCTGAATTTTCTAGGGCTACTGAAATGCTGTGACGTATATTCCCTTATATTCATTTTCTTTTTTTTTTATTTAGTTCTGATTGTCTCACCTCTTGAAAGTGGTAAGTTTGAGCCTATAAATAATATCAAAATCTAAGCCAAATGAAATATATCTTTTAGAGCTTTTGTTTTCTATATATTTTCTAGCATCACATGTGAGTTGAGTTTGTTAGGTCTCTCCCTTAACTTGATTCGAGGGTATTTTTCAGGTTCTCTGGTTTTTCTCCCTCCACAATACCCTATAGCATACTAAATTCTATTTGACCTAAAAGTAATTTAGCCATGCCCTGACTTACATCAGCCCAGAGGTTGCTTCAGGGTTCAATCTGTGAGTTACCAATGCCCTGACTTAGATCAGCCCAGAGGTTGTTTCAGGGTTCAATCTGTGAGTTAGCCATGCCCTAACTTAGATCAGCCCAGAGGTTGTTTCAGGATTCAATCTGTGAGTTAGCCATGCCCTAACTTAGATCAGCCCAGAGATTGTTTCAGGATTCAATCTGTGAGTTAGCCATGCCCTAACTTAGATCAGCCCAGAGGTTGTTTCAGGGTTCTATCTGTAAGTTAGCCATGCCCTGACTTAGATCAGCCCTGAGGTTGTTTCAGGGTTCTATCTGTGAGTTAGCCATGCCCTGACTTAGATCAGCCCAGAGGTTGTTTCAGGGTTGATATGTGGGTAATCAGCAGTGTGCCCTGAAACAGTCTGATCAGCCCAGAGGTTGTTTCAGGGTTCTATCTGTGAGTTAGCCATGCCCTGACTTAGATCAGCCCAGAGGTTGTTTCAGGGTTTGATCTCTGAGTTAGCCGTGACCTGACTTAGATCAGCCCAGAGGTTGTTTCAGGGTTTGATCTGTGAGTTAGCCGTGACCTGACTTAGATCAGCCCAGAGGTTGTTTCAGAGTTGATATGTGGGTAATCAGCAGTGCGCCCTGAAACAGTCTGATCAGCTCAGAGGTTGTTTCAGGTTTTGATCTGTGAGTTAGCCATGCCCTGACTTAATTAGATCAGTCCAGATGTTTTTTGATTTGAATGCCAAAGATCTTTATCATGAGCTGAAACGTTACCTTTTTACAAATATCACAGTGCTGAAGTTTCTGTTTCTTGAGTTCATTGTGAATATATAACTATGCTTGGTTTGGGGGGATGTATATATGTATATTCATTATATACACATGAGTATTTTACTGGGAAATACGCCACTCATATTTTTCGTACAAACTACATCCGGGACCTGAGTAACATATTTCCCATATCTTCACTAGTGAGGATATTGATGATGTCACTTGCGCTGTTTTCCGGGACCTGTTTTGATTAACTTGCGTAGTTTTTCTTTGTGGATGTGTCTATATAGTAAAAAGAAAAATTACATGTTGGCTTGAAGTTATGAAGCTTATCTTCTCTTCTCGTGTTGAAAAATATTTCATCCCTCGAAGATAAACTTCATATCTTCGCTCCACCGTGTGATATCCTCTATTTATTATATAATTACCAATGAAATATCTATTTTTCTCTATTTCGAAAAATTGATATCTTCACACGTGAAAATAACATGTTATTTTCACGTGTGAAGATAACACCATTGCGATAACTATTCAAAAATACACGGAAAGAATTGCCTGGAAAAGCCAAAACATACTTCATTGATAATTATATAATAAACAGAATATTACATGGGCGCTTGGAGATACGAAATTTATCTTCTCGTGTTGAAAATCTCTCACTCGTTCGCTGCGCTCACTTTTGAGAGATCTTTTCAACACTCGAAGATAGATTTCGTATCTCCGCGCGCCCATGTAATATCCTCTATATAGGAGCTAGATCATATCAGCTCTCACTCTGTCATTTAATGATAATATATTTTATTATATTTCAAGTTTATATACTTTTCCTCGTTGTGTTTGTAGACAGTGCACCATCTGATTGCTGTTTGAAGATTCCAAGTAAATGTCATTTCCTGTGCGGGGTCGGGAGTGTAGGCTTTTGGTCACTAACCAAATGGAAGTGTAAGATGAATTACTATCCGACAGTTGTGAAATGCAAGTTCATAAGTGGAATAGGTAATATATATTTTACTACATGATATACATATATCATAAAAAGAAATGCACAACTCAATGAAAAGCGGCTTTGATTATATCCATATAGAAAGGGTGCTATCTAAATCATAAATGTGTAGTTCTCATATTTTATTCATACCCCCCTCCCCCCCCCCCCCAGGAAATTTTGGAATTTCCAAGGGGTGGGGGGGTCAGAGAAGGAACTAACTAAGAGTTTGTATGGAAGAAAATTGGAATTTCTTGGGGTGAGGAGGGTCTCAAAAAATTTCCTCAGGGGGGGAGGGGTCAGGACAGTATGGATAATTTCTGGAACTACACAATTATTATCTATTATTATCCTATTCATTTATTTTACTTTTATTCTCTTAACAGACTATGTCAAAGTGTTTGGCAGGAGTCTGACACAGAAGTAAGTTGTTCTTGAAGTAAATTTTAATATACACATATGAAAATTATATTACGCTTTGGCTGTTGTATCATAGCATGAGACAATCACAGTGACCTTGGAGCTAGCGGGGACTACAGTCCCACCAATAATTTTGAAGCTATTTTTGATTTTTTCACTTATTTCCTATTTGATATGAAATTCAGTATTTGAAAGAAATTTCTAAATTATTACCTCCCCCTGCCATCCAAAATATTAACAAAATATTAACTCTGCGGTCCCTGAATCAAAACAGAGCCATATGCTCCAGCAAGGGAATTGCTCAAAGATTGAATTGGACTGTGTTAGTTTATTTATTTAATATTGAAGAAATAGAAAACGCGCGCCCAGGCTGTGTGCTGTCATAAAGCACGCAGGGGTTGGCATAACACGAGAGAAGTGTTAGGAGAAGCACTATGCATAGCGGAATGCTTCTGGACACTTCTCGAGTGTTCTGCCAATCTCCAAGTGCTTTATGACTGCACACAGCACAGCAAGCAAGTTTTTTATTTCTTTTATGAAATACGAAATACAATATAGATAGGAATGATGCAACGGAAAGTGTGCGCACGTGCAATGTGCTCTCATAAAGCACAAGCTCCAAACCAATCAGAATGCGACATTCCTAACAGTTATTTTATAATTGTTAATAATCCTCAAAATTTTTAATTAATTTGTTTTCCAAAGCATTAAGAATGGTTTTGACAAGCTGTCGACAGAAATCAAGAAAAAGTTGGTAGATGCAAAAGAGTTTGCCAAAGCTACAGTCAATGAACTAATGCAGGTCCCACAGGATGTTCTCTGCAGTCTTAAGGTAATGATTGATGACTGGATGATTAAGAATGATAATGATGGTGATGATGGTGATGATGATGATGGTGATGGTGATGATGATGATGATGATGGTGATGATGATGATGGTGATGATGATGATTGATGATGATGGTGATGATGAAGATTGATGGTGATGATGATGGTGATGATGATGGTGATGATGATGATGGTGATGATGATGGTGATGATGATGATGGTGATGATGATGATGATAATCTACCAGTTTTGTCTGTAATAACAGAGCGGGACAATCACGAACGGAACCTCAGATCCATGCTAGGTGAAAGCCCAAGATCGAATTGGAATTTTAGAAGTTGATTTTTGCGGAGGGAGGAAAACCGGAGAACCTGGAGAAAAAACCCTCAAAGCACAGGAGAGAACCAACAAACAACTCTACTCACATACTACACAGGAGAGAACCAACAAACAACTCTACTCACATACTACACGGGAGAGAACCAACAACCAACTCTACTCACATACTACACAGGAGAGAACCAACAAACAACTCTACTCACATACTACACAGGAGAGAACCAACAAACAACTCTACTCACATACGAAACCGAGCACGGCGGGGCTCGAACTTGGGTTCGAGAAGGAACTGGTGAGATTTTTCGCATTGGTGACAGGCGGCGCATTAGCAGCACACGCCACCCGTGCTTCCCATAATGATGGTGGTGATGTTGCCTGATGATGGTGATGACGATGATGATAGTGATAATGATGATGGTGATGATGGTTATGATAAACATGGTGATGATGATGATGGTGGTGATGCAGATGGTGATGATTATGGTGATGATGGTTATGATGAAGATCGATGGTGATGATGATAATGATGATTGATGATGGTAATGGTTGATGGAGTGGTGATAGTGAGGATCATGATGATTGTAATGCAATTACAACGATGATCATTATCTTTCAATGTTTGTTTATTTTATTGTATTTCATTCCAGGATTCCATCTCTGGTATGACGTCCAAGCAATTCAGGGGTCTAGTGAATCGATTCACCAAATTCACTGCACAGAATCTCAAGAAACTTCTCTCCAGTATCAACCCACAAGCATTTTTTGACAGTATTGATGAACTAATGGTAAGCTGGCAAAAAAAACATCTATACATTCCTCTCCCCACCCCCCTTGTCTAAGACATAGAACTAAACACAGACAGACAGACAGACAGCCAGACAGCCAGCCAGCCAGATAGACAGGCAGACAGATGTCTAATACTCCAGTTTTGAGTTCTCTTTGCTCAGCCTTAGTCTTGGTTGTGTGTTATAATATTCAGTTATTCAACCAAAACCCGTAGCATTTTAATCAACTCGTATTGTTCCGTAGCACGTACATTCCTTACTATACAATGGACCTTAATAAGAGAAAAGAACACATTTGTACACAGTCTAGGCTAAGACTGAGCAAAGGCAAACTCGAAATGAGAGTATTGACTAACGGACCCAACTGATCAACCAACTGACAAAAGCAAAGCAAAAAACCTGTCTGACTGACAAAATGTACTGCTTCCTTCGTTTGTTTGGTCGTTTTGTAACATTTTCCCCTCTCATTTCTCACAGTTTCATTCTCTTCTTCTTCTTTTTCACATATTTTTCATTATTCCAGGGCAAAGAGTGGGATGCTGAACAGCTTTCTGCTTTACTGAAAGCTGCGTTCAAGAAGTTTGGAGAGGACATAAGAACCTGGGGAAAAGAGGCGTTTGCTAGTTTGAAACAGTTGATTGCTGGGATAGACTCGGGGGAGCTGATGCAGATGACTTCTGAGGGCTTCGAGGAAACGTAAGGATATTGTCTGTCTGTCTGACTATGTGTCTGTCTGTCCATTTTTCTGTCGCTTCATCCTTGTGTCTATCTTCTTCCATGTGTCTATGTCACTGTCTACCTCACTGTCTCTAAGTCTATGTCTCTGTCTGTCCATCCCATGTCCATCTCTGTGCGTTTGTCTGTCTGTCTGTCCATGGGTTTTTCTGTCTGTCTGTCCATATGTTTGTATGTCTGTCTGTCCATGGGTTTGTCTGTCTGTCTGTCCAT